ATTCAATTTAAATTCTTCAGATTTATATCTACCAAAACATTAAAGAGGTGGAAAAAGGTGTAGGACTCGATACTTTATTTAATAAGCGGAAAGATTTTTGTCAAATTTAATGATCGCATCCCCACGATTTGATTTCGGAAACATTTTTGAATTGAGAAGTGTTTCGGTGCTGGCAGGTGTCATAGGAAGCAAATGCTGTGAATGACTGTGCAGGGACACGTGTTGCTTGCAGAACCCATTTATCGATCGACTAAAGGTCTCACTTTGGTATTTACACAACACAGAAGCTGGTATGAATAACGACAAATGATTTCTTATTACTCAAAAAACTATCATCATAGTACTTTAAACTTACTATTCTGCTCGAGTTAACCTTAATATTGAATCTCTCCTCGTTTAATATTGACTCGAATTTTTTATTATTTTTTAGTCTATTATAGTTCTTTTAATATATATCCGCACGGTAGCCGATCTTCTTTCATTAAAATGTTGAGGTTCGGTAAAAAAATCGATATCGAAGAACATAATTCACTGTTATAGCTGGATGATCTCTCATCAATTTCCTATGTCCTGAACCATAGATCCAGTTTAGTGTTTTTTTTCTTTATTTCGGGATGAGAATAAGATATATCAGAAGTGAATGAGATCACTAACCGGATGTTGTGATGAATACGTGCATAATTTGCTGTTGTTTCAAGGTCCTCCCTAGTAATAATGGCTTCTTTACAATCATCTCTGGATCAAGTTACTGGTCTGGATTACAACATATCCGGTTTTCTGTTCGTTTAACAATTGTTGATTAGCGATGTTATGAGAAATTTTTTCTTCTCATTACTATACCCATTGATTAAAATGTTATTTTTAGTATGAACTTTATTTTCTTAAGATCAAATATCCATAAAGTAGAAAAAATGGTAAGGAAATTGCTAATTAAATTTATTCATTATCTAGTCTCGTAAATTCATTTAAGTAAATGCTTTATTACGGTTTTATTCCACGTAAGAAAAGATTGAAATGTAGTTTTTTCAATAATAAATTGTATGTTTGTGGCTGAGTAAATTATACACTCAAACCTCTGTACAGTGGCCACTGACTATGTTCAGAGTCGTTCTGTATGCATTTTTGTTAAAAAGAAAAAAATCCCGAAAAAATGGCAGGTGATCGTTATTGGAGTTTTGACTCCACGTAATTTAAGGGAAATTTATTTGTTAGGTTAATTACTAAAAAATAAATTTATATATAGACGTGTTTAAGTTGAAACGACCGAAAACAGAGCGGAAAAAGAAAAGGTCTTTTTAGTTAGATTAAATTTTTTTTTAAAATTCTCTTTTATTAACGCAAATTTAGATAATAAAATTTTGAAAATTTAATAAACAAAAATAACAGAAATTTTAGTTGACAACGTTGTTTTTCTCAAGAAACGGATTAAAGAATATCTAGCAACACAGATCGATATTTGGCCCTAGGGAAGATTGTATTAGGAGACAAACTATTTCACTTGTTTAGCATTATCCCCGCAGAAAATAACGTTTTACCATTAACTCGCTAGTTATTTTAAGGTAAAAACGCACTCCACCTATCGTTATCATTAATTCAAATAAGGTAATTAATAACGGTAAGGTGAATTACTTTACTATAGTAATTGTTAGGTATTTCATTTATTCTTAATACAGCCATGCTGAGTAATAAGTAAGAACGTTTTATCTAGTCTAGATCAATGGTTAATGATGTACATACAATATTTTTCCGTCTCGTTATTCTGTCTTAATATTTACACGCGTAATTTTAAATGACGAATAGTTAAATTAATACTAGGTCTACGCATCGAGAATATATTTTTTATATAGAATTATTCTAACATTTACTGCAATTATCAACGAGCAATTTGAATGTATTATAATTAATTAACTTATGACTGGATATTCATAAATACATGTTTAGTAGAGAAAAAAATAACGTATTTACAGTCGACATAGACGATAAACAGAATAGAGTGAATAGTTGGTTCAATGTTCTGTTTTAATCAATATGTGAATGTTAAGTCTTTGCACCTTTATTCCAAACATGCAAAATATTTCTAGTAAAATAGATACTCACCATATATATAGGCTGTGTGTGTGTGTGCATTTCTACCTTTTCAAAATTTGATTTGGAAAATGCCCGAGTGAATTCTTGTTTATCTTCGAATATTTACTATGCCGAAACGTGAATTCGATTTGTTTTGTAATTATAATATTTTATTTGTATTTAATTTATATACCGACGATTTATAAAATTATTTTAAAATATGTTTTTGTTTTGTATGAATGTACTCATTCAATAGAACTTCCTCTGCGTGTGATGTTACGAACAACTAAGAAAATAGTGCCTTTATATATATATACTGTATGCTCGACTGTGTATGTATTTATGTATATATATATATATACATAACCTCTGAACAACGGCCACTAATGGGAACGTAAAAAAATGTCCGCCATTTTTGATAGGTTAAAACGTTGAATTTCGTGTGAACAAAAATGCATACAAAATAACCTTCAAACAACGACCACCTGAGAACAATGACCATGTTTCTATCATTAGTCATTTTTCACAGGCTTGACTATTTGATTTTCGAGAGTATATTCTTTACAATGTGATATACAAGACCTCACGTATAGAATAATTATTAATTAACGACTGTTAATTAGACATTCCATTGTATATAAAATCGAAACACTATTAGTTTTTTATAGTATCACAAGCTGGACGATATACTTGCAGCTGAGGTTCAAGAAACAATAACATCAGAATACATTTTAAATATAGTTTCTTCACTAATGTTAAGAATTTCCGAATTTATCGTATCTCTAATCTTGTGTCTTTAACATTTAACTGTTTAGTTAATAGTTGTGTATTTCAAAATGGAAAGTATTAGCAATTGAATAGTTTCAAGTCGTTCGTAACATCACGTGATATATACGTAACTGAATTGATATATGCTTGACGTGTATATATAAAATCGTACTTATTTATTCGCACCTATTGTAATTCTCGTATAGCAACAAAGATTAAGTGATAGGATGACAAACAAGAAATAAGGATTTTGCAAGACGATCAAAAGTCACTGTGCACTTATATAACAAAGAACATCATGTAGATGCATAAGTGACTTTTTGATCATTCTGTGAATAGCGACCACTGACAGGGACATAACCTTCAAACAACGGCCACTTTTTGTTTTGTATGCATTTTAAAAGTTCTCTGATAACAGATGGCCATTATTGGAGGTTCGACTATATATTGTGTTCATATTGAAAGTCTGAATCGTCATTTATGCGATGGTTATATTCAAGTTTGGTTCGAATTGTTGGATAAAGGAGTTCTTGAAGTTTGAATCATTCATAATCTGAACTAAAATAAGCAATTGAATCTTAAGATATGCTGCAATTTTTCTTCCATTTAATTTGTATAGAATTTTTCTCCGAACTATAGCGAAAATAAGTACAAATTTAATATTACAGTATTCAAATGTTTAATTTTTGTTTATTAATTTGAATTTTTTTATTTGGAAAAATACTTTTTGTACATTATGCAAAATGNGGAATATTTAATTTTGTATTTCCTTCAATTTTATATACTTAGTGTAGACATTAATACAGATTTGCATAAAATACATTTTTAGTTTTAATTAGTTATTTTCGAAAAAAACTGGTGAAAAATTTCGTTGCAGAAGTAAGATTTTGTTAGTGACGACACTAGCTACAAGTGTAGAGTTCTATCTGTAAGGCATTTACACCACTTCCACTTTTGGAAAGCTTCCAATGGTGTCAACACACGTTTTCAAAGAACTATTTTCTACCAAAAAGGGAAAATTAAATTTTAATTTTTGTAGTAAATACAGCTAATTAAACGTTCGAAAAAATCGTCGCAAATATTAAAAAAAAATGCGCTTTTAATAAAATTGTTCCATTACTTTCGAGTGACGTTGTGACTTTTGAAAATGCAATTTTGTAATATTTATTATTATTAAATTGTATTTCACAAGATATCTACTTATAGAATTTCGTTTTGCATATCTAATTATTTTAGTGCATATATTATAATAAATAGCAACGAGTGTCACAATATAATACGCACTTAAGTCACACGTCGGATAAAGGTTAAAGTAAAGAATTCATTTTTATTTATTTAGTTTATTGCTACTGTGACGTAATAATGGCATTAAGTTTTATTAATAAGTTCTGTTTATATGTTCATTTATTTATTTTCTAATTAAAAATTAATTTTTAACGTAAAATACAGTACCTAAACGTAAATTACCTGTACGGTGGCTGATTTTTGAACTTTAAACTTTGACCTTCCCGTTACTTTCTGTATACAGGAATGATTATTAAATAAAATATTTTCGATATTACAGAGTAGGATATTTTTCAGGGACGCCCAGAGGGAGACAAGAGAATGAATTGTCCCGCGCTCCGATGAATTAAGGGCTCCCTACGCGATATATATTTTTTCATTTACTTCCTTTACTATAAGATAATAATTTAATTCGCTGTACCGCCCCGATATGTATTTTGCTCCGGGCCCCATTATCTTACTACTTTCACCTATTAATTAAAGATTCTTTTAATTAACACACGAATAGACGAAATTTTTTCTCTCTAAAATAAAATAAATATGCATATTATTCATTTAAAAATAGCGAATTTACACTTTTAAAGCGTCTCCAGTTGTCGTTATTAAATAGATTAGCGAATAGTGTGTAGGGGGTGGCAAACTGAATATTTTAAAATTAGTTTAAAATTAAAAATCATCGAGACGTCGGTAGAATTACAATTTTTCGTGTCTGAATGCAATAAATAATTTAAAATTCATCAAAGAGATTGGCAAAAATTTTCCGCATGATTTTGCAAAAAATAAAATAAATAAATAAATAAGAGTTTATATAGAAGAAAGCGGCCGTTAGGTGGCGCTAACGATTTCTGCCTCCTCTCCTCCTCCTCCTCCTCCGACTAGGAGCTAGTACAAGCAGCGCCTCTAGCGGCTAGGACCAGCTCGTCTGTCAGAAACGTGGTTAACGCTATGGATGAGGGGGTGCGGCGGATTCTCTTCGGAAATCGGGACGAAAACGTTAATTTAATGGTTGTATCGAGCGCAATACGTATTTAAGAAAAGTTTGGAACGATCGGAATCTGGTAACTGTAATGGTGAGTTGATTGGCTGGCATCTGGGTATTTAGAGAACATCTGCACCCGTGCACCGTGCACTCTATACATTTGGTGTTGACATAGATTTGCCATTCTTTACATGAATTGTACATGGAGACGTTTGCTTGGATTGATACAGGGTATCGTGCGCTTGTCTGGTGACTGACCGGATGATGGCTGCGAACAATTGAACGGTCCAGAGGTGAAATGATCCCTTATATGACCTGCGTGTGTTTTGGTGGACATGGACGTGGAAAAATGAAAAGATGGATTCTCGTTCAAGGAGGAGTTCAGGTATGTATTTAACTAGCACCATAATTTCCATTGCAATAAATAAATACGTCGTGCGTCAAACTAATATATTTCAATTTCACTGCATTAATGACGCGTAAAGTTGTTTTTCTCCCAAATATCCCGAAAATCGTCTTTCCATCTTCATCTAAAGCGCTAATAAGCTACGACAATCGCTAACCTAACTATAAAAACAAGAATTAATATGCTAAAGATTAATTAAATATTCCAGTTGAGTTCGGCTGCGTTTTCATAAATATAAATTATGGGAATTAAAAAAATTCTAATAAAAATATATGCTTAATATTTATAACTTAATGTACATTTATAGTTTCATTATTGATTATACAAACATCTTTAAAGGTTACATTGTATAATTTATTAATTGAATATATTAGAATTTATGAAAAAATATTTAGTAATTAAATTGGAAATGATTTTGCTCCTAATATATATAAAATAAATGATAAATATTGAATATAAAAGAAAATTTATATACTGAAACTGCTTCCTTAATTGTCATTGTTTATTTTTTTAATCATTTTTATTAATTCTAATTTATTTTTTATCATTTGAATTTTTTAATAATTAAATAACAAAAAAAACAATAGTTTAAACTGTTTTTATTTCATTATTAAGTAGAATTTTTGTTAAAATTTTTAAAAATTAGATGATAAAATTATTATCCATTTGAAAGCAGAAACTTTAAAATAATGAATAATTTTGATTTTTTAAATATTTAATGTATCATTTAATTAAGAAAAAAATGATAAAATTCTCTTTATGTATAAAATGGGAAATATAAAATAAATTTATTTTTGAAAATAAGAATTTAATATCCTTTATTTTCTCCATAATTCCAATAAACGAGTGGCTCTCTGGTTTATAAAACATTTGGGAATTTAGGGCAATATTTGATTAAATATAAATAAATAAATTAATTTTATTGATTTTTTTGTTTTAGAAAAGAATTTGATATTTGGAATAAAAAACAATAATAATATCTTCTAATATCATTAATTAAATATATAATAAGTTGTTTATGTAATAATTATTTTCATATTTAAGAGATTTATTATCCAGACAGATTCATTAATGATGCACCATGACTGAAATAATTATGTAGTTTTATAAAAACTACATAATTATTTAAAAAAAATAATTATGTAAAAGCTGTTTATTTTTTGAAATGTTTGCCTTAAATTCATTAAAAATGAATAAAATTTATATACAGTACTGCTATAATTGGGGGTGGGTTAGAGCTTAAGTGTCTGGTCTGATGAAAGGAAGAGAGAAATGAGAAAGAAAAGGTCTCGGTAGGTACCGAACCGATAGAGCAAATCAGAAAATAATTATGAATATACAAAAAGGTATAATTTTATTGAATGGAACAATATTCGACACTTGAAAGTTAATTGCGTTGCGTTTATCGTGATTTTATTTCGTAACTCGTAAATAAAAATTCAAAAATCGTGGAATAATTTTAATATAAAGATTTAATAATTCTTATTAAACTTATGGAATTGGATAAACAGTAAAATAAACAATTAATTTTAAAATAAAATAATTAAGTTTTATGCAAATTTGTTATTTAAAATAATTGTTTGATCATAAGTTTTGTAGTTTATTATAATGAAATAAAGAAGAATAAACAGGAAAGAAAACAAATTGAAATTGTGTTGTATTGATAAAATGTTTCTCTCTCTCTCTCTCTTTTTTTGTTTTTATAAATTTAACAAATTTTAATTGAATAAATGTAAATTAGTTTAATATTATTATAATTTAAAATAGGTTTGATGATGTAAGCAATATTAACTGAAACTCTTTAGAAGAAATTCTTATTATAATAAAATTAAAATAAAAGAAATTTATATTTCCTGGTACTTTCAATGATTTCATTTACTGTTTTTTTAAAAACATTGAGTGTTTTTCTTTAGGTATTTTGACATTTAAATATACTTTAATTACAATGCATGTATATACTGTTATGGAAATTTTATTACTTATTTTATTTAAAAATAAATGTAATTTGGAGGATATTAAACAAGTAAATGAACTTTATTGCATTAACTGACATTTTTATTTATTATTAATACATAAAATTAATTTTGCCTTTTGGTCAAAAGCATGGTAGATAATGGTATTGACATTGAGTTTTTTTTTCACATAATTCAAAAATAAAAATAATAATAATTTTATATGGAATTATGTATTGTATACTTAATCAAATGCAGTAGATTAGCTTTTTCTCCCCAGGAACATTAGAATTTTTTTCCCCTACTTTGGTTCCCTCATTACATCAAAAGTAGACATTCCGTTAGAATTTAATTAGTAAATGTATATTTTATTTTATAAAGATCCCCTACTCGTTGCCATTTTCTTAATTTAATGTAAAGAAATTGTATAATTTACTCTAAAAATAATTAAATATTTTAAAACTAGAAATGCTTTTTTATATGTATATATAATTTGATTCAATAATAATCATTAAATATGTAAATATTAGAAAATTCAATATTTGATTTTTATTATTTTTTTTCTTCCATTTGTCCATTTAATTGTTATTATATGTTAAAATTTATTTTCATCTTTAAATTGATATATTTTCTTAGTTTTATCTAAAATATATATTATTTATTTTTATTTAGTTATGATTTATAAATAAATAAATGCAATAAATATTATGAATTTTTTAAATGTATGAGGAAATGACTTGAAAAGTTATGTTTTTGAATGTTAAATTATAAAATATTTATTTATTTTTAACAAATTTATTTGAAGCATCCTAAATAATATATTTGTATATATTTTTTATATTCAATATTTTACCAAAGAATTTTATAAACATCTAAGTAGGTGTGTAGAAACTGATCCAATGATTAAATCTTATAAAAAAGTATTAGAATTGTAAAACGAGTACTTAAACAACATACAAATTAGCATTTACTTTTATTTATAATCTTAAGTAATAATTAAATCAAAATAAAGATTCTAATCAATTGATTTGTAGTTTGATAGCATATTTGCATATTGGAATTTTAAATCTAATTTTTAAACATACAACATCATTTTTCTGCAAAATGAATTTAAAATATTAGTTATTCTATTCAAAACTAGTTTTTAATTTTATATTTTGTGACTTTGGTCCATATAAAATACTAGTGCAAACAATACATCTTTTTCTATCAAGTCTTCAGCTTTTCTAAAGCTTATCTCTTGTCATGGTTGAATTTTTCTCAGTTGGACATTCCTAATGAATTTATATAAAATCTAAATCCTCTTCATAAAATTAAAAAAATTATATTATACTGTATAATGCAATAGTTTAATGCTAAAGGGCTATGATCTGTTTTCTTAAAATCTGACACCAAATAAGAATTACTTGAATGTTTTATTGTTTAAAATAAAATATATTTAAATTTCATCAAATATTTTTGTATTTTTCAAAATCTCGCCGCCATTTTTGATAAGATTAAAGTTCAATCGAAATAGCTGTAAGATTCAATTTAAATTCTTCAGATTTATATCTACCAAAACATTAAAGAGGTGGAAAAAGGTGTAGGACTCGATACTTTATTTAATAAGCGGAAAGATTTTTGTCAAATTTAATGATCGCATCCCCACGATTTGATTTCGGAAACATTTTTGAATTGAGAAGTGTTTCGGTGCTGGCAGGTGTCATAGGAAGCAAATGCTGTGAATGACTGTGCAGGGACACGTGTTGCTTGCAGAACCCATTTATCGATCGACTAAAGGTCTCACTTTGGTATTTACACAACACAGAAGCTGGTATGAATAACGACAAATGATTTCTTATTACTCAAAAAACTATCATCATAGTACTTTAAACTTACTATTCTGCTCGAGTTAACCTTAATATTGAATCTCTCCTCGTTTAATATTGACTCGAATTTTTTATTATTTTTTAGTCTATTATAGTTCTTTTAATATATATCCGCACGGTAGCCGATCTTCTTTCATTAAAATGTTGAGGTTCGGTAAAAAAATCGATATCGAAGAACATAATTCACTGTTATAGCTGGATGATCTCTCATCAATTTCCTATGTCCTGAACCATAGATCCAGTTTAGTGTTTTTTTTCTTTATTTCGGGATGAGAATAAGATATATCAGAAGTGAATGAGATCACTAACCGGATGTTGTGATGAATACGTGCATAATTTGCTGTTGTTTCAAGGTCCTCCCTAGTAATAATGGCTTCTTTACAATCATCTCTGGATCAAGTTACTGGTCTGGATTACAACATATCCGGTTTTCTGTTCGTTTAACAATTGTTGATTAGCGATGTTATGAGAAATTTTTTCTTCTCATTACTATACCCATTGATTAAAATGTTATTTTTAGTATGAACTTTATTTTCTTAAGATCAAATATCCATAAAGTAGAAAAAATGGTAAGGAAATTGCTAATTAAATTTATTCATTATCTAGTCTCGTAAATTCATTTAAGTAAATGCTTTATTACGGTTTTATTCCACGTAAGAAAAGATTGAAATGTAGTTTTTTCAATAATAAATTGTATGTTTGTGGCTGAGTAAATTATACACTCAAACCTCTGTACAGTGGCCACTGACTATGTTCAGAGTCGTTCTGTATGCATTTTTGTTAAAAAGAAAAAAATCCCGAAAAAATGGCAGGTGATCGTTATTGGAGTTTTGACTCCACGTAATTTAAGGGAAATTTATTTGTTAGGTTAATTACTAAAAAATAAATTTATATATAGACGTGTTTAAGTTGAAACGACCGAAAACAGAGCGGAAAAAGAAAAGGTCTTTTTAGTTAGATTAAATTTTTTTTTAAAATTCTCTTTTATTAACGCAAATTTAGATAATAAAATTTTGAAAATTTAATAAACAAAAATAACAGAAATTTTAGTTGACAACGTTGTTTTTCTCAAGAAACGGATTAAAGAATATCTAGCAACACAGATCGATATTTGGCCCTAGGGAAGATTGTATTAGGAGACAAACTATTTCACTTGTTT